TATTTTTAGTAGAGCCAGTTTCACCATGTTGACCAGGCTGGTCTCAAACTCCTGACCTCAAGTGATCCACCTGCCTCAGCCTCCCAAAGTGGTAGGACTGCAGACATGAGTCACCATGACCGGCCCCCATGTTTACCTTTTAAAATAAGCTGTTTATCTTGGAATATGGTAGATAAGAAACCACCTTACAAGACTGCTCACAGCCTGGCACAGTGGCGTGTGCCTGTAGTCCCAGCTTCTCAGGAGGCTGAGGCTGGAGGATCGCTTGAGTTCAGGAGTTCTGGGCTGTAGTGCGCTATGCCAATCGGGTGTCCACACTAAGTTTGACATCAATATGGTGACCTTCCAGGAGTAGGAGACCACCAGGTTGCCTGAGGAGGGGTGAACCGGCTCAGGTTGGAAACAGAGCAGGTCAAAACTCCTGTGCTGATCAGTAGTGGGATTGTGCCTGTGAATAGCCACTGCACTCCAGCCTGGACAATGTAGCGAGACCCAGTCCCCCCCAAAAAAAAGGCTGCTCACAAAATTCCTGTGAAACAACCCCTCATTACTGCTCTTTGGACATTTTAGAGCTTTATGCACCAAGGCACTGAGAGACTTAATGGCTGGCTGAGAACTGGATAATGAATAGATGGGCAAGTCCTGAGAGGATTGTTTCTGTTTCCTGTTTGTAGACCCACTCTTTTTTTTTTTTAAATTTTTTTTGAGACAGTGTCTCACTCTGTTGCCCACGCTGGAGTGCAATGACGTGATCTTGGCTCACTGCAACCTCCACCTCCTCGGTTCAAGCGATTCTCCTGCCTCAGCCTCCTGAGTAGCTAGGATTATAAGCGTGCGCCACCATGCCTGGCTAACGGGTTTTTTTTTTTATATTTAACTTACAGAGACGGAGTTTTGCTCTTGTTACCCAGGCTGGAGTGCAATGGCGCGATCTCGGCTCACCGCAACCTCCGCTTCCTGGGTTCAGGCAATTCTCCTGCCTCAGCCTCCTGAGTAGCTGGGATTACAGGCACATGCCACCATGCCCAGCTGATTTTTTGTATTTTTAGTAGAGACGGGGTTTCACCATGTTGACCAGGATGGTCTCGATCTCTTGACCTCGTGATCCACCCGCCTCGGCCTCCCAAAGTGCTGGGATTACAGGCTTGAGCCACCGCGCCCGGCCCTTAATTTTTATAGTTTTAGTAGAGAGGAGGTTTCACCTTGTTATTAAGACTAGTCTCAAACTCCTGACCTTGTGTTCTGCCTACCTCAGCCTCCCAAAGTGCTGGGATTACAGGCATGAGCCACCATGCCTGGCCAACCCACTCATTAACCCAGAAGAATTTATCAGTGTTTGTATTTTTTTACAGGAGCTTATAGGAAGGGTATTTGTTTCTGTTCCCACAGCATTTTGTAGAAACCTCTAGATGCATTTAACACTTTTTGCAGGAGTTTCTTGTCTCAATCTTCTTGTCTCTCACCCTAAATGGCCAACGCTGTATTCTGTTTATCTTTGTTTTTCAAGGATTCAAACAATCGATAAATATATATTGAATAAATGAATGAGAACTTAAAAATCTGAGATTTGCTAAAGCATAAAAATAGTAGCTAGGTTTTTTTTTTTTTTTTTTAAGTTTCTTGTTTAAATTAATTCTGTTTCCAATAGTGACTTTTACCACAGTGTTAGGAATTATATGCCAACATTGTGAGAGTAAAGAGAATGAATTATGCTTGTTTGTGTTTGCCATGGGAGTCTTTTAGTTTATTGTGAGGTTTTTTGTTTGTTTGTTTTTGAGACAGAGTCTCACTCTATTGTCCAGGCTGGAGTGCAGTGTCATGATCACAGCTCACCTGCAGCCCGAGTAGCTGGGGTCACAGGCACATACCACCATGCCTGGCTAATTTTTAAATTTATGTAGAGATGGTATCTCATTGTGCTGCCCAGGCCAGTCTCAAACTCCTGGCCTCAAATAATCCTCCTTCCTTGGCCTCCCAAAATGTTGGGATTATGGGTATGAGCCACTGCACCTGGCCTTGTTTTTTTGTTTCAATATTGAAAATATTCTTCTTTAATAATGTGGATATTTGTCCCTAGAACATAGATTTCTTAGATATTAGTATAATAGTGGCTTCTCTTTATTGTAAATGCATTATTTAACGCTTCTATTTACTGTAAATGCATGTACTAAACTTTTCTGTATTGTCTGGAACACATAAGAAATAAAATCTAACTTTATTAAGTTATGTTTAAATGCTTAAACACTTTTTTTTTAAATTGTAGAATGATTAAGTAGAAAAACATTTGATGATTTTAGGACTTCATGTGATTTTCTATCTCTGTAGAATAATTACTGATTTTTTACAGGGAAAGGGAAAATACATTCTCTATTATATGAGTCAAGAGTTCCATGTTTGGTGCAAAAAAAGTAAAACAAAACTTTCTGTTCTAGGAACTAGTAGTCATCCATTTCAGACAAACTTTGTGACATGACTTTGTATATTATGTATATTTTCAGGATATATGTATATTACCTGCATTTAGAGAAATTGTTGCTGATTTGTTGTTTGTGGTTACTTTTTACAAAGCTGATCTAAATGAAGCTTGTGGTTTGCTTGGAGAATTACTGCCTATGGCCTGTTAGATGCTTCTTGGAAAACAATTGTCTTGACAGTAACTTAGACTCACCCCTAAAGAATTTAACAGATTATCTGAAGAGGTTGCATCATCTTTAACTAAAGTGCTGTGTCCTGCTCACATGATGCTGGTTGGACTGCTGCTCGGAATGGTATGGTGTGGGAGGAAGAAGAAAACTGAGGCCAACTTTATTTACTTTTGACTCAACTGCAGTAAGGCCAATTATATATAGGTGACTATTTGTGTATTAGTACTGACAGAAATACTAAAAGGTCAAATGTGTCATATCTAGAACTAGTACTCTTTTTTTTTTTTTTTTTTTTTGAGACAAGGTTTGACTCTGTCACCCAGGCTGGAGTACGGTGGCACAATCTTGGCTTACTACAACCTCCACCTCCTGGGTTCAAGTAATTCTCATGCCTCAGCCACCTGAGTAGCTGGGATTACAGGTGTGTGCCACCACATCCAGCTAATTTTTGTATTTTTTGTGGAGATGGAGTTTCACCATGTTGGCCTTGAACTCCAGGCCTCAAGTGATCTGCCTGCCTTGGCCTCCCAAAATTGGGATTACAGACATGAGCCACTGTTCCCAGCCTCGGAAAGATTAATTTTAATAGTTGTGAAAAAACAGAGAGCCTCACTGTGGAAAATAGCAAGAGTCAATTATTATTAATTTTTGAAACATTGTCTTGTTCTGTTGCCCAGGCTGTAGCACAGTGCTATGATTATGGCTTACTGCAGCCTTGGGGACTTGAACGATCCTCCCACCTCAGCCTCCCAAAGTGCTGGGATTATAGGTATGAACTACCATACTCAGCCAATTATTTTTTAAAGTACTTAAAGTTTTTTTTCTGAGACAGAGTCTCGCTCTGTCACCCAGGCTAGAGTGCAGTGACGTGATCTTGTCTCATTGCAACCTCTGCCTCCTGGGTTCAAGCGATTCTTGTGCCTCAGCCTCCCTAGTAGCTGGGACTACTGGCTGATTTTTGCATTTTTAGTAGACACGGGGTTTTACCATGTTGGCCAGGCTGCTCTCGAATTCCTGACCTCAGGTGATTTACCCTCCTCAGCCTCCCAAAGTGCTGGGAGGCGTAAGCCACTGTGCCCCGCGTATTTACTTTTTTAGTTTTTTGAGGTGGTGTCGCATTCTGTGGCCCAGGCTGAAGTGCAGGGTACAATTGCGGCTCACTGCAGCCTCAAACCCCTGGGCTCAAGCAATCCTCCCACCTCAGCTTCCTGAATAGCTGGGACCACAGGCGCACACCACTATGCGTGGCTAATTTTATTTTTTAAAATTATTTGTACAGACGGGGTCTTCCTTATGTTGTCAAGGCTGGTCTTGAACTCCTGGGCCGAAGCAGTCCTCCTGCCTGGGACTCCCAACATGCTGAGATTACAGGCATGAACCACTGTGCCCAGCCGCAAGTTTGTTTTGAAGCAGGAAAATTTCTGTTAGAAAAATAAAGGTCCAAGACTGGTGGCTCACACCTGTGATCCCAACACTTTGGGAAGCTGAGGTGGTCGAATCACTTGAGCCCAGGAGTTCAAGACCAGCCTGGGCAACATGGTGAAACCCCATCTCCACAAAAAATACAAAAAAATTAGCTTTTTTGGTGGTGTGTACCTATAATTTCAGCTACCTGGAGGCCAAGGTGGGAAGATCCCCTGAGCCCAGGAGGTTAAGGTTGAAGTGAGCCATGATTGTGCCACTGCATTCTAGCCTGGACGACAGGGTAAGACCCTGTCTCAAAAAAAAAAAAAAAAAAAAAAAAAAAGATAAAGTATTTTCTAAGAAAAGGAATAATGGGCTGGGTGCGGTGGCTCATGCCTGTAATTCCAGCACTTTGGGAAGCTGAGGTGGGTGGATTACGAGGTCAACAGATAGAAACCAGCCTGGCCAACACGGTGAAACCTCATCTCTACTAAAAATACAAAAATTAGTTGGGCGTGGTGGCGGGTACCTGTAGTCTCAGCTACTTGGGAAGCTGAGGCAGGAGAATCGTTTGAACCTGGGAGGCTGAGGTTGCTGTGAGCCAAGATCTTGCCACTGCACTCCAGCCTGGTGACCAAAAAAAAAAAAAAAAAAAAAAGACAAAAAGAAAAGGAATAATAAGCTTGGTGGACAGCCTTAATGACTACATATTAGATAGGCTATCTCATTGCAATGTGTTAGGCATCAAATCACTCTGGTAATGTAAGTCAGCCACGTTAAGTTTCTTTGCCAGCCTTCCTTCAAGAGAACTCTTAGAGTCAAAGAGAAGGTAGAGCAAAGAAGTTGCTTGTGGAAATGAAGATATAGAGTACCTAGTTAATAGTGGGAACCACAAATGATTAAGGTATAGAATTATGTTCATCTCTTTATTTTAACCTTCTCTTCTTCCAGGTTGGTGGCACTAAGGCTGGTGTAGTCCGGTTTCTTGGGGAGACCGACTTTGCCAAGGGGGAATGGTGTGGTGTGGAGTTAGACGAGCCTCTTGGGAAGAACGATGGTGCTGTTGCTGGAACAAGGTTTGTTTGGCATTGTGCAACATCTTGTCTCACTCTTGTATGTGATGATGCTCAAGCCAGTATCACCAAGCATGTGTGTCATAACATGGAAAGACATGTTCAGAAGAGCGGCACTCTTACTTCCTGAGACCCATCTGCTGTTTTTTTGCCCTCCACACTAGAATTGGGACTGTTCTTTTGACTGTCTCCTTAGTACTACATGTAGTGTGTCTGAGTAGATTCTGAACAAGAATTCTGTTTATTTTTCAAAATAGAAAGGAAATACTATGTTATCTGTCTGGCTTCTCTCACCACCCACCTTTTTTTTTCTTCTTTTTTTAGTAGAGATGGGGTTTCACCATTTTGGCCAGGCTGGTCTCGAACTCCTGACCTCAGGTGATTCACCCGCCTCAGCCTCCCAAAGTGCTGGGATTACAGGAGTGAGCCACTGTGCCTGGCCTTCTCTCCCTTTTGATAGGAGTTGCTCTCTGAAAGAGTACCTGTGCATCTGGGGGCGGGTGGTGGTAGAAGTTAGTCACCTTTGTCAGTAAAAAGAACTGCAGAATATGTCTTCATATCTGATGAGAATTCCATCCTACGGCAGGAGAACAGACTGGCAAGCAGATCTCTCCCCTTGTGAGGATAACCCCATTCTTTTTTTTGAGACAGGGTGTCCCTCTGTCACCCGGGCTAGAGTGCAGTGGCATCATCCTCACTCACTGCAACCTCCGCCTCCTGGGTTCAAGCAATCCTCCTACCTCAGCCTCACCAGTAGCTGGGACTGCAGGCATGCACCACCACGCCTGGCTAATTTTTGAATTTTTAGTAGAGATGGGGTGTTGCCCAGGTTAGTCTCAAGCTCCTGGATACAAGTGATCTGCCTGCTTTGGTCTACCAAAGTGCTGGTATTACAGGTGTGAGCCACCATGCCCAGCCTGGATAACCCCATTCTTGCCTCCCAACACAGGATGGGAGTACAGTAATGCACACAGATGCAGGAGGAATTTCCCACTCTTCTTTTCAAAATGATTTTTTAAAAAAAATATTTATTTTATTTATTTATTTTTAAGACGGGGTTTTACCATGTTGGTCAGGCTGGTCTTGAACTCCCCACTTCAGGTGATCCACCCACCTTGGCCTCCAAAGTGCTTGGATTACAGGCGTGAGCCACCGCGCCTGGCCCATTCAAAATGTTTTGAAGGCACAGGCGTCTATGATTCAGTATCATTAGTAGTATACAGTATATTAATGCATCACTTGTGTGGTAATTAACATTTTACTTATAAAACATAGACAAATTGGTTATAAGCAAATTGATTATAAAGAAAAGGGCTTAACCTACCACATACAGTAATTATAACTCTTGGAGGTAAAGATCTCTTGGAGGCCGGGCACAGTGGCTAACGCCTATAATCTTGGAGGCCGAGGCCAGTGGATCATGAGGTCAAGAGATCGAGACCATCCTGGTCAACATAGTGAAATCCTGGCTCTACTAAAAATACAAAAATTAGCTGGGCATGGTGGCACACGCCTGTAGTCCCAGCTACTTGGGAGGCTGAGGCAGGAGAATTGCTTGAACCCAGGAGGTGGAGGTTACAGTGAGCTGAGATCTCACCATTGTACTCCAGCCTGGGTAACAAGAGCGAAACTCTGTCTCAAAAAAAAAAAAAAAAAAAAAAAAAAAAAAAAAAAAAAATTTCTTGGAACTGCAATGATTATGAAGCCATCTTTTCTTAATATTAAAACACTGTAATCCTTTAGAGTCATACATTGCCTGTGTCTACCCAAAAATAGACGTTACTAGTTAATATTTCTCCATGTTTACTTTTTTTCCCCCAGTGCCGTTTTCTTTTTTCTGGGTCTTCTCAATGCTATATTTGCAGAATACCGTATCTTTTTTTTTCATATTTTTATTGATACAAAATTAAAAATTTTCAGTGAACTGGCCAGGCGTGGTGGCTCACACCTGTAACCCTAGCACTTTGGGAGGGTGAGGTGGGTGGATCATGAGGTCGGGAGATTGAGACCGTCCTGGCCAACATGGTGAAACCCCATCTCTGCTAAAAATACAAAAATTAACTGGGCGTGGTGGCACGTGCCTGTAATCCCATCTACTTGGGAGGCTGAATTAGGAGAATCACTTGAACCAGGGAGTCAGAGGTTGCAGTGAGCCAAGATTGCTCCACTGCACTCTAGCCTGGCGACAGACTGAGACTCCGTCTCAAAAAATAAAAATAAAATATCTTCAATGAACATTTGTATTTCTTTTTTTGACTAGATTTTTCCTGTATGTTTAATGAGGCATTTTGTATTTATATTTCTCTACAGTTGATTAAATAGGGGTAGATTTTAATTTTTTTATTTTTATAAATACATATTTTTTACTAATTTTTTTTCAGTAGGTTTTTTGGGAACAGGTAGTATTTGGTTACATGAGTAAGTTCTTTAGTGGTGATATCTGAGATGTCGATGCACCCATCACTGGAGTTTTTTATTTGTTTGTTTTGAGACAGGCTCTTGCCCTGTCACGCAGGCTGGACTACAGTGATTTGATCTTGAGCTACTGCAGCCTCAACTTCCCAGGCTCAAGCGATCCTTTTGTACCACCACACCTGGCTAATTTTTTGTATTTTTTGTAGAGATGGGGGTCTCTCTGTATTGCCCTGGCTGGTCTTGAACTCCTGGGCTCAAGTGATCCCTTGCCTTGGTCTCCCAAAATGCTGAGATTACAGGAGTGAGCCACCACATCTGACTCTTCATGTTTACTTTAATGGATCTACCCAAGTTAGGTGACTGTTTGATTTCTTTTCCTTTTGTTTGGCACAATTTTATTAAAGGTGTTTCCTCTATTGCTAAACTCCTCTGCTGTACGTTTATCAGGTGGTGGAAATATTTATTTCCTTTATGTAGAACCTCAGCAACAGGTGAGTAATCCTGACTCTGTGTATCACCAGTGTGTGTTCTAAAACCATCACTGAGGTGTTAGTTAGCCTACATTGTCACCAGTGTGTGTTCCAAAACCATCATTGAGGTTGTTAGCCTACATACATGTGACTGCTACGTGCTGGTATATAACCCCAGCTTAGTGGTAGAATTTTCAGGAATCCAGCCACAAGTTAGGAGCAGGGAGAGCCTTTTGGTTATAGTTATTATTTCTTGTCACTAAGTTGTTTTTTGTTACTGTTCTTATTGTTCTCTAAAGGTATTTTCAGTGTCAACCCAAATATGGCTTGTTTGCTCCTGTCCACAAAGTTACCAAGATTGGCTTCCCTTCCACTACACCAGCCAAAGCCAAGGCCAACGCAGTGAGGCGAGTGATGGCGACCACACCCGCCAGCCTGAAGCGCAGCCCTTCTGCCTCCTCCCTCAGCTCCATGAGCTCAGTGGCCTCCTCTGTGAGCAGCAGGCCCAGTCGGACAGGACTAGTAAGCTCCCTTTCTCATTACCTGCCTCCACTTTCCAGGCATGACTAAGGCCCGTGGGCAGTGCCCCTGCTTTGCTGCTTTCCTGCTTTGCTTGTCCTTGTGCTGAATGTTGCTTGCAGCTTGCTGTGAAAGCCCTTGCCAAGTAAGTTTTGAAAAATGTAACTCCAGCAAGAATACATCTTTTAAAATCAGAAAGCATTTTTAATAGCCCTTTTCAGATTCTTTTTTTTTTTTTTTTTTTTTTTTGGGACGGAGGTTCGCTCTTGTTACCCAGGCTGGAGTGCAATGGCGCGATCTCGGCTCACCGCAACCTCCGCCTCCTGGGTTCAGGCAATTCTCCTGCCTCAGCCTCCTGAGTAGCTGGGATTACAGGCACGTGCCACCATGCCCAGCTAATTTTTTGTAGTTTTAGTAGAGACGGGGTTTCACCTGTTGACCAGGATGGTCTCAATCTTTTGACCTCGTGATCCACCCGCCTCGGCCTCCCAAAGTGCTGGGATTACAGGCGTAAGCCACCGCACCCGGCCCTTTTCAGATTCTTAAAAGCTTAAAAATACATCTGTTTTTGGTGAATCTGTGTAACTACTGCTTACTCTAATATAGGGGTCAAATTATTATTATTTTTTCTTTTTTTTTTGACCATTTTACTGTATTAATCTGTTTTCATAAGGGGTCAAATTATTTTCTATCAGATTATTTTAGGACAAAATGATGGGAACATTGGAGAGATGCTTTTCTTCAAGTCCATAGATCTGTCTCTCTCTCTCTGTCTCTTTTTTTCTTTTGAGTCAGGGTCTTACTGCTTCCCAGCCTCAACACCCCAGGCTCAAGCAATCCTCCTGCCTCAGCCTCCTGGTAGTTGGGACTGCTGGTACATATCACCATGCCTGTCTAATTGTTCTTTTATTTATTTATTTATTTATTTTTTGAGAAAGAGTTTCGCTCTTGTTGCCCAGGCTGGAGTGCAATAGTGCAATCTAGGCTCTCCGCAACCTCCACCTCCCAGGTTCAAGTGATTGTCCTGCCTCAGCCTCCCAAGTAGCTGGGAATATAGGCATATGCCACCATGCCTGGCTAATTTTTTGTATTTTTAGTAGAGGTGGGGTTTCTCCATGTTGGCCAGACTGGTCTCGAACTCCTGACCTCAGATGTTCTGCCCTCCTTGGCCTCCCAAAATTCTGGGATTATAGGCATGAGCCACCGCACCCAGCGTAATTTTTTTTTCTTTATAGAGAGAGGGTTCCACTATGTTGCCCAGGCTGGTCTCAAATTTTTAGGCTTAAGCGATCCTACTGCCTTGGACTTCCAAAGTTTTGGAATTACAAGCGTGAGCCCCCACTCCCAGCCTATTTTTCTCTTTGACTTCAAATAATTTTAGGAACTGAAGTGTTTTGAGAAAAGGTGTGTTCCTAGGATTTTAATATTATATTAAGACAACCTAACCTACTGGAACCAGTTAGTGTGTGGAGTGTCCCTGACTTGAACCAGAGGACACTAAAAGGAACTTTTGGAGCTGGAAGAGTATACTGGGAAAGCCCTGTTTTGATTACTCTCTTCTTTTCATCTTCTTCTGGTCCTTTTTCCTCTCTCCCCCTTTTTCCTGTTTAAACAGTAAAAATAGAATCACCAGTAATAACATAGGCAACACCTCATTCTGTTTGTTAATGTAGTATTTTATTCGGGTCAAAAGCCCTGCCCATAAGTTTATTTCCTAGAAGTGGGACAAATACTGATTAAGTTAGAAGTGGCAGCCTCAGACTCTCCTCCAGACTGAGTTCAGGTCTCCGCTATGTATCGGGGAAGCACAGGCCATGAGCCAGGATGGTGCGTGGTGCCATGGGGAGGAGGGTGGTTAGCCCAGGGTCTCTCGGGGCCTGCTCTTCCATTGTCGTCAGGCAGAGGAGAGATAGGTGCTGAAATCTTTACGTGGGGCTGTGCTCCTCTGCCAGCCAGCTAGGCTTTCCTCCTCTATATTCAGGTAGGATAAGCACTGCTCGAAGCATTTCCGTTTGCATATGAAAAGAAAGCCTGTGTCTTCAACAGAAAAATTACTTTTATGAGAAAAGTGTGACAAGAACAGTGGATTGAAGAAGAACCCCAAACCCCTGAGTTGAGACAAAGTTTTTAAAATGTAGGTCAGAAACTCATACATACATCTTTCCTCCTGTGCTATTCTTTGAACAGTTCCATGGAAGGGCCTATTCCGGATTAGGAAATTTCTTGAGAATTTTTATTACCTTGTAATTGTGTCCATTTCTTTGGGAAATACCAAGTTCTCCCGATTCCCACCAATTTCTCCTCTTATTTTTCAGACCAATTCTCATACCTCTTAGCTCACCTAATTCAGTGAAAATTGACAAAAGAGACATGAGTTTCTGTATCTTGTGAGACAGCTTATTTTTGTGTCTTTATGGTTTCTAAGTCAAAAGTCACCATATGATAAAGATATAATGTCATTTCAATTATTTTGCTCAGAAATGTACTTCTGTTTTAGAAAAACAAAAATTGAAAAAAAAAATTTTTTGAGACGGATTCTCCCACTGTCGCCCAGGCTATAGTGCAGTGGCGTGATCTTGGTTCGCTGCAATCTCCGCCTCCTGGGTTCAAGCAATTCTCCTGCCTCAGCCTCCCAAGTAGCTGGGACTACAGGCGTGCGCCACCACACCCAGCTAATTTTGTTTTATTTTTATTAGAGACGGGGTTTCACCATGTTGGCCAGGATGGTCTCGATCTCCTGACCTTGTGATCCACCCGCATTGGCCTCCCAAAGTGCTGGGATTACAGGTGTGAGCCACTGCACCTGGCCAAAAAAGTAAAATTTTCCTTTTTTTTTTTTGAGACTGAGTTTCACTCTGTCGCCCAGGCTGGAGCGCAGTGGCGTAACTTCAGCTCATGGCAACCTCTGCCTCCCAGGTTCAAGTGATTCTCCTGCCTCAGCCTCCCAAGTAGCTGGGATTACAGGCGCCTGCCACTACACCCAGCTACTTTTTTTTGTATTTTTAGTAGAGACGGAGTTTCACCATGTTGGCCAGTCTGGTCTTGAACTCCTGGCCTCAAGCGATCCAACTACCTTGGCCCCCCAAAGTGCTGGGATTACAGGCATGAGCCACCGTGCCCAGCCCATTGTTTGTTTTTATTTTTATTTTTTATTTTGTTGAGATGAGTCTCACTGTTGGCCAGGCTGGAGTGCAGTGATGCGATCTGAGCTCACTGCAACCTCTGCCTCCTGGGTTCAAGTGATTCTCCCTCCTCAGCCTCCTTAGTAGCTGTGATTACAGGCGTGCTCCGCCATGCCTAGCTAATTTTTGTATTTTAAGTATAAACTGAGTTTCACCATGTTGTCCAGTCCAGTCTCGAACACCTGATTTCAGGTGATCCACCCACCTTGGCCTCCCAAAGTCCTGGGATTAGAGGTGTGAGCCACCATGCCTGGCCAATTCATTCTTTAACCACAGTGACTTAGTGTTTCCATGTTCACCGCTGTTGGGCTCTATACATCTAGTCAAGGTTTGGAGTCTTATTTCTCATCACCAACCTCATTTCTTGTGCATGTTGATTTTTGCATGGTACTTTCTTTCTTGTCATGGCAATAGCCAAAACCCAACTTTGAAAGACATGATGCTATTGAAAGGATGGTAGGACAATCTAATGATGAGACAGAATTGCCTCGAACTAGTAGTTTGCATGGTGTCCTGCAGATGTCGCTGTGTTTCTCTTGAAAATTTAAAACCTCTTGCAGTGCACTGGTGAGTTTGCTCCTCATGCTGGGGCATCTCTGCACATGGTTTGGGAACCACACATTTAATGAATTCAGAAAGAAATATTAGCAAGAGAAGGTATAATTTAGCTATATAATGAAATTGAAAGGTCAGGGTCAAATGATTAAAAAAGACAAGAGGAGTTTCCTTCCAGTATGTTTAAGTAATTTCAAGAACTTTGACTAAATGAAACAGCAAAGGGCAATTTGGGTTTGATTAGATTCTTTTGTAGCTCTCAAGTTGCCGGGTTGTTAATTGAAGAAAGATCCTAGCTGTACATCTGCATCCTGTGCGTCTTGCAGCAAGGTCCTAGGGAAACTGATGAAGAGAAGAGCTTTCAGGTGACAGCTGCAGCTCTGACTGCAGAAGATGAAGTTAAGGCTGACTTGGTCTGGAGTCAGCAGTGGCTCAGAGGATGGCCTTTGGCTGGGCATGGTGGTTCACACCTGTAATCCCAGCACTTTAGAGTTTGAGAACAGCCTGGTGAACATGGCGAAACCCTGTCTCCACTAAAAATACAAAAATTAGCTGGGCGGTAGTGGTGTACGCCTGTGATCCCAGCTACTTGGGAGGCTGAGGCAGGAGAATCACTTGAACGCAGTGAGCGAGATCGCACCACTGCACTCCAGCTACTTTTTGTATTTTTAGTAGAGTTGGGGTCTTAACCATGTTGGCCAGGTCTCAAACTCTTGGCCTCAAGTGAGCCACCTGCCTTGGCCTCCTGAAGTGCTGGGATTACAAGTGTGAGCCACCACACCCAGCTGGTGTGCTCTCTTTACACTGATGTATTCTTTGTGAGATTTATAGACAGAAGGCCCATGCTTTCCTGTGTTTTTGAGGAAGCCTTTCCTAATCCTGGCCAGCCTGCTAGCTGGAGCAGTGCCCTTGCTTTGCCAAGCAGATGCCCACCATGTATGCATCACACCTCCCTCTCATTCCTGACAGCATCATCTCCCTTCACTTCTCTAACTTTCCTTTGCAGTTGACTGAAACCTCCTCCCGTTACGCCAGGAAGATCTCCGGTACCACTGCCCTCCAGGAGGCCCTGAAGGAGAAGCAGCAGCACATTGAGCAGCTGCTGGCGGAACGGGATCTGGAGAGGGCGGAGGTGGCCAAGGCCACAAGCCACGTTGGGGAGATAGAGCAGGAACTAGCTCTGGCCCGGGATGGACATGACCAGGTGAAGTCTGACCTTGTTGTGGAGATGATGATAATTTCTAATCCACTGAGGAGGGCCAGAAGCATGCCTGGTGCTTGGCACCAAGGAGCTATCCTTGAGAGCACTGGAAATGGGTGTACATTTCTTTGCTGTGTTTGCTTGAAAGCTACGACCTGGGGTGCCAGTTTCTGTGATCACAGAGATGAAGTTTTCTTCTTGATTCTACTTTAGTGTCTGGTCTTTGTGTCTGGGTCTTTTGGCCTGTGTTAGGCCAGCTTGGTTACTAGGACCTTACCAATGATTACAGCTGCTGTTTGTGGATTACTCTTAATATGTGTTTCAGTTTCAAACAAGATGAGTGTTATTTTAACATTGCCCTTTATCGCTTTAATGGTGTGGTATTTCATTATCTATCTTCCAGGAAAGCTGTCAAGAATAAACTATTAAAATAGAAAAAGCATATTAACATAAGGTTTTAGAGTAACGCCCACCCACCGTGGTAACCCAGAGCTCTTTGGGGAAGTATCTTTGGGTCTGTATCTGGGTCAAAAATAGCCCTTTAACTGACATCCTTGCCTTCCCCAGCATGTCCTGGAATTGGAAGCCAAAATGGACCAGCTGAGAACAATGGTGGAAGCTGCTGACAGGGAGAAGGTGGAGCTTCTCAACCAGCTGGAAGAGGAGAAAAGGTGACCTCAGACTGTTTCCTGGTGGAAGTGTGGCCTTTTCCTTTTTTTTTTTTTTTTTTGAGATGGAGTCTAGCTCTGTTGCCAGGGTTACAGTGCAGTGGTGCGATCTCAGCTCACTGAAATCTCTGCCTCCCAGGTTCAAGTGATTCTCCTGCCTTAGCCTCCCAAGTAGCTGGGATTACAGGCACACACCACCATGCCCGGCTAATTTTTTTTGTACTTCAGTAGAGATGGGATTTCAACGTGTTGCTCAGGCTGGTCTCGAACTCCTGAGCTCAGGCAATCTACAATCTGCCCGCCTCAGCCTCCCAAAGTGCTGGGATTACAGGCATGAGCCACTGTACCAGTGGTCTTTTCCCTTTAAATGATCTTAGAAGACAATTTCCTATTAATAACCATGTTGCTATCAACCCTTAGAACCAAAGGAATGACTATCTAGCAGAAGTTGAACTCTCCCATACCGTGTGAAGAGGGTCTGCTTTGATTCAACTTTTTAAAAGAAGTTTGGAATAATTTAGACATGGCCCAATTATCCGGGCATGGTGACTCCAAGCCTGTAATCCCAGCACTTTGGGAGGCTGAGGCAGGTGGATCATGAGGTCAGTAGTTCAAGACCAGCCTGGCCAAGATGGTGAAACCCAATCTCTACTAAAAAAAAAAAAAAAAAAAGAAAAAGAAAAGAAAAAATACAAAAATTAGCCAGGTGTGGTGGCGGGCACCTGTAATCCCATCTGCTCAGGAGGCTGAGGCAGGAGAATCTCTTGAACCCAGGAGGCAGAGGTTGCAGTGAGCCGAGATCACGCCACTGCACTCCAGACTGTGTGACAGCGAGACTCCGTCTTTAAAAAAAAAAAAAAAAAAAGACAAAACCTGATTAATGTAACGTATTTCTTGAGCCATGATGCATTCCAAACATCCTCTTGAGGGTAGCCGTTATCAGAATTGTGGTGGTCATTCCCAACCAGTTTTCACCTGGAACTGGTTTCCTGGTTTTCTAGGTTTGAGTTACCTTGTGTTTATGAATTGTATTACGTCTGGTGAGTGACATAAGGTTCCTGTACTTGAGAAATTCAGTACTTTATTAGGAAAACAGAATTCTCACCTGTGAAACAATTAGAGAATTACAGGGGTCCGTATGAAATAAAATATTAAATGGTGTGAGACAGAGACTTAAGTTTGGCTCTTATAAAGGAAACTTTCAGTCTGGGTGTAGTGATTCACACCTGTAGTCCCAGCCCTTTGGGAGGCTGAGGCAGGCAGATTGCTTTGAGTCCAGGAGTTCGAGACCAGCCTGGGCAACTTGGCAAAACCCTGTCTCTACTAAGAAGAAAAAGAAAAATTAGCCAGACCTGGTGGCACATGCCTATAGTCCCAGTTACTCAGGAGGCTGAGGTGGGAGAATCACCTGAGCTCAGGAGATCAAGGCTATAGTGAGCCGAGATTGCACCACTGTACTTCAGCTGGACAAGCATAGTAAGACCCTGTCTCAGAAACAAAGGAACTTTCTTGAGCCCATGAACAGACACAGTCTCTGAAAAAAATGTCTGCATGGAAATGATTTGAACATCCCTGGGTTATGGGACATTTGTCTCTGTGGATTTAATGCCATCTTCTGTCATTTCAGAAAACAGTGACTTAATTCAGTAATAATTTAATGTTGCTGTGTGCTTATGCCAGTCATAAGCAATGTTGTAGTCAGGGGTCACAGTGAGGATATACTACCATCACTTACTTTCTCACTGGAGAGAGAAACACTATACTTAGGAAATTCTCTTCATATTTAAAAAAAGGCTACAAGTAAACAGGAGACAGTGATAGACCCTCTAGGCCCTTCTGAATTCCATGGTACCAGTTCCATTTGCTTCCATTCTTTTGTCAAAAATTTATGGCTGGCTGCGGTGGCTCACGCCTGTAATCCCAGCACTTTGGGAGGCCGTAGTGGGTGGATCACTTGAGGTCAGAAGTTTGAGACCTACCTGGCCAACACAGTAAAACCTCGTCTCTACTAAAAATACGAAAAGCAGCTAGGCCTAGTGGTACATGCCTGTAATCCCAGCTAACTTGGGAGGCTGAAGCAGGAGAATCACTTGAACCCAGGAGGCAGAGGTTGCAGTGAGCTGAAATTGAGCCACTGTACTCCAGCCTGGGTGACAGAGTGAGACTCCATCCAAAAAGAAAGAAAAATATTATCTTTTGAGATAGGGTCTCACTGTCAGTCAGGCTGAAGTGCAGTGGTGTGATCATGGCTCACTGCAGCCTTGACGTCCCTGACTCAAGGGATCTTCCTACCCCAACCTCTCAAATAGCTAGGACTACAGGCACATGCCATCATGCCTGGCTAATCTTTATGTTTTTGTAGAGATGGGGTTTTGCCATATTGCCGAGGCTGGTCTCAAACTGAGCTCAGGCAATCTGCCCATCTTAGCTTCTCAAAGTGCTGGAATTACAGGTTTTTTTTTGTTTTGTTTTTTTTTCCTTTTCTTTTTTGAGACAAGGTCTCACTCAGTTGCCCAGCCTGGACTGCAGTGATACAATCATAACTCACTGCAGCCTTGACTGCTGGGGCTCAAGAGATCTTCCCACCTCAGTTTCCCAAGTAATCGAGATCACAGGTGCACGCTACCACACCTGGCTAATTTTTTAGTATTTTGGTAGAGATGGGGTTTTGTCATGTTGCTTAGGCTGCTCTCAAACTCCTGGTCTTAAGCAGTTCTCCCACCTTGGCCTCCCAAGGTACAAAGATGCATTTTTAAACTTGCTATGTCTCTAAGGCATTTCTTGCTGCTGTCTGCTTGAATTCACCAGAGTAGTGATTATAGATTTTATTTTATTTTATTATTTATTTATTTATTTATTTATTTTTGAGACGGAGTTTCACTCATGTTACCCAGGCTGGAGTGCAATGGCGCGATCTCGGCTCACCGCAACCTCCGCCTCCTGGGTTCAGGCAATTCTCCTGCCTCAGCCTCCTGAGTAGCTGGGATTACAGGCACGCGCCACCATGCCCAGCTAATTTTTTGTATTTTTAGTAGAGACGGAGTTTCACCATGTTGACCAGGATGGTCTCGATCTCTTGACCTTGTGATCCACCCGCCTCGGCCTCCCAAAGTGCTGGGATTACAGGCTTGAGCCACCACGCCCGGCCTAGATTTTATTTTTTTAATACAAGGACTGGGTCTCACTATGTGTCCCCAGCAGGTCTTGAACTCCTGGCCTCAAGCAATCCTCCTACCTCTGCCTCCCAAATTGCTGGGATTACAGGAGTGAGCTACCATACCCAGCGTGATTTTTTTTTTTTTTTTTTTAGAGAAGAGTGTTACTTTCTTAAGTGTTTTGTTTGGGTTTTATTCCACAGGAAGGTTGAGGACCTTCAGTTCCGGGTTGAAGAAGAATCAATTACCAAAGGTGATCTTGAGGTAAAACCCCTCCAGCTCTCTTAAAACTTTTATGGGTGTCAGTATTCAGAAACATGGGTGAAATAATGTGCCAACTGAAATGAGTGGCCAGAACAGTCAGCTGAGGAAGCGGCAGGGGAAACCCTGGCCTCTCTGGCCATGTTGGGTTCTGGAGGGCAGCTTCGTGGTAACAGTGCTGGTCCTTGAGCCTGTGATTTTGTGTCCCACTTCCTATGGCAGAGTGAAATTTGCACTACTCTTTTCTCATGCTTCAGAATTCAAAACCATGAACTGAATTTCATCGTCATAAATCTGGCAGTGTGTCCTTAACTTAAAGCAGTCCTGAAGTGAGACTTACTTAACGTTCCTCTGATGATTACAAAAGGCATTTTAAATTTGTCATAGTAGTCCATAACAGGCCAGGTACAGTGGCTCATGCCTGTAATCCCAGCACTTTGGGAGGCCAAGGTGGGTGGATCACCTGAGGTCAGGAGTTCGAAACCAGCCTGGCTAACATGGTGAGAACCTGACTCTACTAAAAATATAAAATTAGCCAGGCATGATGGCGGGTGCCTGTAATCCCAGCTACTCGGGAGGTGGAGGCAGAAGAATTGCTTGAACCCGGGAGGTGGAGGTTGCAGTGAGCTGAGATCACGCCACTAAACTCCAGCCTAGGGGACAGAGCAAGACTTCGTCTCAAAAAGAAAAAAAATAGTTCATAACAAAGCTTTTCGCTTTATCTCAGCTTTGCTTTTTCAGTTGCAAGAGAAATCCTTTTATAAACCTATAAAAGGAATAAATTATGTATTCTAATTGGTGACTTTTTTTAAAAAAAAGTAATTAGAGCAAAAACTAAGAACACTTTATATTTCAGCTTCCTTTACTTCCATGACATTTGTAGAATTCATGGATTTTCCTTTAGTGTCAGGTTTCTCATCCCTTCTTAACAATTTATTCATATTAGTTTTTAAATTAGACACTAGAATTAAATGATTTTGATGGTTTTAAGCCATTGCTAGATATATGACAAATGTAAATCATTCAGTTTTTCAAATTTTCCAGATTTGTGGTTCTGTAGTCTACAATATTTTAGTAAAAATTGCACTTAACTGTGCATTTCCCAAATACTCAGTTTTACTACAATTTTAGAGTCTGTTGGCTGCCCACACCATGCTTAAATTTGAGAGGCACTTCCAAACAACAACTCTGATTTCTGTGGAAATAAATGTATCTTTACAGTTAACCCAAGAGCAAGGGGAACATTTTCTGGGTTCTAGTTGTATGGGGCCCAGAATTTAACGGTTATCAGTTTAATAGATATCTTCTTCACTCATTTCATATACAGCCACATTTCTTTAGTCGACTTTTGTGTTGTTCTCATCCGTTTAAAAACACCCCAAAGTCTCATTAGAAGTTTCATATCATCATCTAATTCATATAAAATATAGCCTATGGTGTCTTGGGGAGGGTCCAGTTAAAATAATTTACATTAGCTCTAGGCTTGTATAGTCTGTCTGATAAACTTACTTGAAATTAATCAAATAAAGTTATCTTGAAACCCTAACACATATTGAAACTTTAGTGGAATCTCTTTTTTGTTGTTGTTTAATTTATTTTATTTTTTTGCTGATAGCAAAAGAGCCAGATTTCTGAAGATCCTGAGAATGTAAGAGGGCACTTAACTGTGTGGATATTTCCCTTGTTAACAAAGATTGATCACAGATTAAAATGCTTATTGATAATACTCAAACATTAACTCCGTAATCTGACCTTGGGACATTGACCTTAATATTTCTGTGCATGTGGCTTTCAAAGCAGTTACATTTATATCCTGAAGAAATTGTATGTAATGACTAAGCTCCGCAAATTGATGTGTTTAATGAATAGGCCAATGTTTGCTTTATAAATAATTTTGCCAGAAAAGGGGGATAAGAAGTTTTTGTCTGGAAACTTGGCCTTCTTCATCTAATTCATAATGTGTTCTAATTTTAGTGGCATTATTCCAAAAAAGATGATATCTGACTGGAGCATAAAACATCCTAGATGTAAAGTTGTGGGAATTCTGGGGAAGTTTCCAAGGTGTCTAATTTTGCTTCCCATGAGAAGAAAGGGGATTGTGAGGCTGGTGGCTGTCCCAGAGCTGACTGGCTGCCTTTTCAGTGTGCCCCCTGCCACTGACCAGTGCCCACCAGTGCAGCTGATGAGACATTCAAACTTCCTTTTGTTTCTACAGTATTTTCCTTAGTTGTGAACCTAGAGGCAAGCATTTGTCAGTGAAGACACAGTATGTTTTAAATTGTTATTACTGAAGTGAGAGTTTTCTAGCTGTAGCATTACTAGGTATGCAGGTGTTTTACTTTTCTTCCTCTAAGTCCATACACCCAGTACAAGTCCTTGCCATGTTGTCTCCAGAGCATTGCTTCCTGGTGTACCCTGCCAGCTGTGCTGCTGGTTGTAAAGAACCTGGAAATGTTTTGCTTTGAATTACTGCCGCATTAGAAGGAATTTAAAGAATGACATTACTTCCTACCACCTCCTGGCTCCTGAAATAAACAGCTCAAGACTAAACTTTTGGCCTGGCGCTGTGGATTATACCTATAATCCCAGCACTTTGGGAGGCTGAGGCTGGCAGATCACCTAAGGTCAGGAGTTTGAGACCAGCCTGGCCAACATGGTAAAACCCCATCTCTACTAAAAATATAAAAATTAGCCAGGTGTGGTGGTGCACACCTGGAATCCCAGCTACTAGGCAAGCTGAGGCAGGAAAATCTCTTGAATCCAAGAGGCAGAGGTTGCAGTGAGCAGAGATCACATCATTGCATACCAGCCTGGGCAACAAGAGCAAAACTTCATCTCAAAAAAAAAAACAAAAAACAAACAAACCTGAACTTTCTGAAAGGTCTTTGTTCTAAAGGGTTCCTTTTTGTGAAGCTACTTCAGTGATCTGGGTCTCTTCTTTTCTTCCAAAACAGGCTCCCGCTGCCCTCGGTGTCAGTCTGCATGGGATTCCCGCCCCCGCCCCCCCCCCCCCCCCCTCTTGTGCGCTTCTCACAAAGCCTTTGCTTTCCTTCTCAATCCCCTGTCCCAGGACTTTCCTCTTGGGATACTCTGTGTCTTATTCTAAGAAAGGAATGATTTTTACAAGGAGGGTTATCCTGCTCAGTGTCACATTTTTAGAGAGTGCTGCGACATGGAAGTGGATCACTAGTTCACTCGTGGCTGATTGACCACCTAAGGTCAGGAGTTCAATACCAGCCTGGCCAACATGGTGAAACCCTGCCTCTACTAAAATATAAAAGTTAGCTGGGTGTGGTAGTGCTCACCTGTAATCCCAGCTACTAGGGAGGTTGAGGCACTGTAGAACCCTAGATAATGTGTATATAGACCCATCAGTAAGGAGGCGTTGGCCACGCTCATCTGGAAGATCTCTGAATGGGGAGGAGATCACATTAAATGTATGTTTGCAGGCCGGGCGCGGTGGCTCAAGCCTGTAATCCCAGCACTTTGGGAGGCCGAAGCGGGTGGATCACGAGGTCAAGAGATCGAGACCATCCTGGTCAACATGGTGAAACCCCGTCTCTACTAAAAATACAAAAAATTAGCTGGGCATGGTGGTGCATGCCTGTAATCCCAGCTACTCAGGAGGTTGAGGTAGGAGAATTGCCTGAACCCGGGAGGCGGAGGTTGCGGTGAGCCAAGATCGCGCCATTGCACTCCAGCCTGGGTAACAAGAGCGAAACTCCATCTCAAAAAAAATAAATAAAATAAATAAATGTATGTTTGCTTTTTATCTGGAAATAGCGACCTTTTACCCAGAGGACACTTAACTGTGTCAAGAGAAGAAAGGTTCTAGTGCCTTTCCTTTTTCCTACTACTGTAGTTTTGGATTTCAGTTCTTGAGGCTGTGACCTCAATTATGTAGATCAGGATTAGATTCTTTTCTTTTAAAAGCGGGGAAATTGAACAGTGTCCATCCAAGGCACATACGGACCAAGGGGACTATCCAGACAGTTAGGGCTTGAATTATATTCCATTATTTTGTGGAGTATACAGAGTTGAAGCAGGTGATGAACTGAAAAAACAAATTTTTGTTCACCTTTTAAATATCCCATGATGGTCCATCGATACCTGGTTTACAAGCAAAGTGACCTCTTGAATGCATTGAAGTCCCTGAGTCCCACTGGAATGAGTGAAGATATTTGTAACCTTCACTTTAACATTCCTCCCTCTACTGAAGCTCTGCACCACTTTGTGTCACTTTGTTTAGAGTCTGTTGTCATTTTTTCATTGCCTGTTAATTGTCCAGATTGACACGTCAGTTAGAACCACAAATTATTTAAATTACTGCAAGTAAATGACAGCTGCTGAGAGCAGCCCTGCGGGTGGGGACCTCGTCAGTCGCTTATTCTGATAATGGGTAACCTCTTGTGTAGGAGAGATGAGGGTGGGAAGAGATACATTTGGACCCAGATTATTTCGAATTGATTAAGATTCTGCTGCACTTAAACATGTTGGAGATTATCCTCTGTGTTCCCCATCAGGCTACATCCAAGTGCCTGATAGTGGAGAGAGCAGAATATCTGAGTTAACAGAAGTTTTAAATCACATTACTAACTCACCAGCTGTTTTTGCATGAGTTCAAACTCATGTCTTTGGATTGAGTTGCCATTTTACGTGTGAGTAATAAAAACAACTTCATCTTAAGGTAAAAATAATAAACCCCTTACCAATTTGGGCTAAACTTTCCTCCTGCCCTGAGCCTCTTAACTGGCCTGCTTCAGAGATGGAGATGATAGAGGATAATTATTACTAAATTTTCTCTTTTTAATTATGGTTCCTTTTTTCCCTCCCTGGAGCCAACTAGCCTTTGGGAAATCCACTGCTGGAAGGAAACTAGAGCTTCCATGGCCCTTTCCCGGTCATAATAGGAATGTTGCTGAGGACCTAACTCAGATCCTTTTCACCCATTTCTGCAGAGGCTGCTAGCGTGATTTCCTTAGCTCTAGTTTCCAGATTCCTTCTTTTGGGGTTACTATTTGACCTTTATTTATGTCAGGTTATATGCTAGGGTGCACAGATCTGCTCTAAGGACCTATTGAACACTTTTAAAATTTATGACATTATCTTTGCCATATTTAGATGACAGTGATGGTGATGATCATTCTGAGGGTCAATATACCTTTTAAAGTTATCGAGTCAGTTACATACACATTAATGTCAAGTAGCCTTTGTGGGGTAGAGGGAAAATGATAGTTTAGAGGGAGGGATATTAACTATTCTAATTGGTGCTGATAAACTTCACTTACCAATATTACTTATATTTGGCTGCATGCCTCTGACACTTCATCTGGCCTCATGTGTTTCCATTTTTTCTTTCTGTACAGACTAGCCCATGCCCCCTGCCCACCAGCATCCTTTGTCCATGGTATTCATCCTCACTGCCCACCTCATCTCACCTCCACCTCTTCCCTTCTCCATTCCCCTTTTGTTCATCCTTTGGCAGAAGGTACTGGTGGCTCAGCCTGCATGCCGCTCTCTCTCCTCTCGTGCTGGCATGTCATGGTGGCACTGTTGTGTTCTCTTCCTCTTCCTTTTTACTAACAGACGCAGACCAAACTGGAGCATGCCCGCATTAAGGAGCTTGAACAGAGCCTGCTCTTTGAAAAGACCAAAGCTGACAAACTCCAGAGGGAGTTAGAAGACACTAGGGTAATGCTTTTCACTATTTAATGAAGCAGACCCATGCATGTGAATGGTGGACGCCTCAGGTGACATGCTTTATAGTGGCCTGAGCCTTGACCCAGTGGTTCAACCTGAGTTTGGTCTTGTTACTGTTCAGGTGTTCGTGAGATGAGACTGATGAGTAGGAACAGGTGTTTTATATTTAGTCTTTTGTCAAAAGTAAAGACTGGTTCCTTTGGTAACCCAACCAAATCAAGATCAGAAACTTTACAACTGAATAAACAAACGGGTATAACTGTATTTGAAGTTGTTTATATTAATGCCATGAAACGCATTTCTCCAGCTGGCCACAAGCAGTCAATTGTCCTCTTGTTCTCATATTTCTAGTTATTAGGCTTTCTAAATAATTTTTTGTTACTGTTGTTTTACTTTAGCTCTTTTCCTGCCTTCTTCCCTGGTCTCATGGGAGAAGGAAATGGAAACATGGGCTCTGTTTAATGAGAGTTAAGGACTTTCACCCCAGTTACCTTTTTATTTCGGAAGGCTGATCTCTGCATCTTCCTGCTTTCTGTCACTCAGGGGATTGAAACCTCAGTGAATGCCAGATGCAGTGGCTCATGCCTCTAATCCCAGCACTTTGGGAGGCTGAGGCAGGTGGATCACTTGAGGTCAGGAGTTTGAGACCAGCCTGGCCAATATGGTAAAACCCTGTCTCTACTGAAAATACAAAAATTAGCTGGGCCTGATGGTATGTGCCTGTAATCTCAGCTACATGGGAGGCTGAGGCAGGAGGATTGCTTGAACCTGGGAAGCAGAGGTTGCAGTGAGCTGAGATTACTCCATTGTACTCCAGCCTGGGCGACAGAGTGAGACTCAATCTAAAAATACAAAAACAAAAAACAAAAAAAACCTCAGTTGTCAGGAGGGAAATGTATGTTGGGAACAGAATGGCTTCTTCCTGCCCCCAGCTCATTGTGGTTGGCCCTTGGAGCCAGGACATTAGTCATGTTTTAGCTTATTTATATATTAAAGCACCTATATAGTGCGAACTTCATGCCAGACATTATTGTGTCTTTACAAGTATTCAGTCTCAACACAACCCTAGGAGGTAGGGAGTATTAGTGTCCCCATTTTACAGACAAGAAAACTGAGGCACAGGGAAGTTAAGTAACTTGCCTAAGATAAAACAGCAAGTAGTAATAGTGGAGGCAGGATTTGCTTCTAGGCCATTTGGCCTCAGAGCGTGTGCTCTTAAAGACCACAAGATGGAGTCTGTCTATTATGGAAGTTGTTTTGTGTTTAAAGATTAAGAAATAGTCAGTTACATATAAAATATATATTCATATACCCTTTTAAATAATGAATTTTTCTGTCAGTGACTAAATTGCCCAGATTCTTAACTTCAGAATTTAAAAAATTACTCTGTTTCTAATCAAATTTGCTATCCTGATTTTTAAAAAAAATTTCTAGTGTTTGTAGAAATTTCTCATGTTGAGAATTCACTGACTAATCTAAAAATCTAGACAATTTTTCTTTTCTAAATCATACGTTTTTATTTCTTAAGAAGAAGTAACATGTTCTTTTGGCCCCTAAACTAAAGATTTCTTCTGTGTATTCGGCAAGAAAACAACAACAACAAAAAAAAGTGGGCCAGGCACAGCGTCTCATGCCTGTAATCCCAGCACTTTGGGAGGCGGAGACAGGAGGATCGCCTGAGTCCAATAGCTCAAAACCAGTCTGGGTAAGGTGGTGTGACACCCTGCCTCTACAAAAAATAAAAAAATTAGCTGGCTGTAGTGGCTACACGGGAGGCTGAGGTGGGAGGATCTCTTGAGCCCAGGAGGTTGAGGCTGCAGTGAGCCATGTTCATGTCTCTGAACTCCAGCCTGGGTGACAGAGCAAAACCCTGTTTTAAAAAAAAATGAGGCCGGGCGCAGTGCAGCTCACGCCTGTAATCCCAGCACTTTGGGAGGCCGAGGCAGGGGGATCATGAGGTCAGGAGTTGGAGATCAGCCTGACCAAGATGGTGAAACGCCGTCTCTACTAAAAATACAAAAATTAGCCAGGTGTGGTGGCACACACCTGTAATCCCAGCTACTTGGGAGGCTTGAACCCAGGAGGCGGAGGTTACAGTGAGCCTAGATTGCGCCATTGTACTCCAGTCTGGGCAACAAGAGTGAAACTAAAAAAAAAAAATTTTTTTTAATGTGGTAATTTCGTGCTGTTTCTTATTAACTTAGAGCCAAATAATTGATCTGGGAAAAACAATGGACTAATGAGATTGAGTTCCTTTAGTGTGATGGCTGTTGAAGTAATAAATTTTTTTTAAACAAGTAAGCTCCTCTCCCATGTCTTAGTTTCATCGGCAAACAATTTTGATGTTTTTTTTTTCCCCGCTCTAGATAAGAAAGCATTCATTTACACCATGGTTTATCTAAGTATTTCAGTTTAAAGCTTATATCAGCTGGGCACAGTGGCTCAAGCCTGTAATCCGAGCACTTTGGCTTTGGGAGGCTCGGGCAGGCAGATCACCTGAGGTCAGGAGTTTGTGACCAACTTGGCCAACATGGAGAAACCGCGTCTCTACTAAAAATACAAAAATTAGCCGGGCGTGGTGGCACATGTCTGTAATCCCAGCTACTCGGGAGTCAGAGACAGGAGAATTGCTTCAACCAGCAGGACAGAGGTTGCAGTGAGCTGAGATCCCGCCACTGCACTCCAGCCTGGGTGACAAAGTGAGACTGCACTCCAGCCTGGGTGACAAAGTGAGACTGTCTCAAAAAAAAAAAAAAAAAAAAAAAAAAAAA